TGGTACTGCTTTAAAAAGGAAACACTACAGTCTACCAACACTATGGCTTTTTCACAGCTTAACTTTGGTTTAACCACTAAACCAGCAAAGTCTGTATGTAACCTGAGGATTTCTTTATCTGAAGCAACTGCAGCTAATTTGAAACATCCAAAAAAGACTTGATATATTCCCCTCATCCTCTTCTGTCACTTAGGTGACAACACACAGATATGCCAGACAAACTGTCCATCCTGAATCACCCTTGGAAGCATTTAATTTGTACGTATTGGCAACTCTTGTTAGTGCTGTGATCTAATCTAATTCTTGAAGTCGCTGCTGCACTTGGGGGTCTTGGGAAAGGATGCCAAAAATCAGGAACAAGCTATGAATGGAGAGGGGGACAAAGCAGACAGTGAGGTATGGAAAACCAACAGAAGGGAAAAGAAGACTCATGATAGAAGCATTTATGATGAGGTTTAAACTGAGCTCAATTACGAGCAAGGGTACTAATTACGAAGGGTCCTCTATGGTGCACACATGAACAACAGGCATGGACAGAAGAGCTCCAAATTGTATCTACTTGTATCCTCCATTTTGGTGACGACTTAATATCCAGACCTCCATTTGAGAAGGGGCTCATATTAAAACACAGGCATTGGCAGTTAGATATAAAGGATCAGTACCTCATTTGAATCCAGCAGACTCCCCTGCATTTCTGTCATCGCCTTTGTCTGATGAAAGGTGCGTGTCCACGCCAAGGTGACACAAGGCACAGAGGGAGAAAACAAAAGGAAGAAATGAGACTCAACTACATACAGAAACAACAGGTAATAAGGTCACATGAACTGGCTGGACACAGATGTCACTGAGCACATGAAGCAACAGAAGGGCGAGATCGACAGCTGTGCAAGCATCCAGAAAGAGCAGAGGATGGATGACACCAGAGGCGTGGAGACAAGAGAAACCTAAGATGGACACCAAACAAGTGCAAGCAAGGCTGCTGGGAGCTGCAGAGACCAGGCATGCAGGCTGATCTCCCGCCCTGGGACAGGCCTGGCACACCGTGTGGGGCCAAGAGGGGGGGATGTTCACAATGGCTGCTCAGGAGGAAAGGTTTCTGCAAAGCCTCCATCCAAGAGTTTTGAGAAGATGAACCACTCTCTTCCAAAATACATTTCTTAGTCTCCATTGCTACCTCCTCTAAGGAAGTGGTTAGGTTAGCAAGGAAGTCTGAAGGCACAGGAAAGGCAGAGCAAAGCAGATCCACAGAGCAGGAACTGATTTCCTGGCACATCTGTCTTTCCAGGACACTGGCATCCAATTTCTTGAACAAATCTGAAGACCTCTCCACTACACAACTCCTTCCCATTTTTTGTTCAGCTGCACCAGCAGAACTTAAAAAGACTCAAGCCACTAAACCAGCTGCAGAGAAGGAAAAAAGAGGATCTTTATTTTATGGCATAACCCAATCTCCTGGAAAGAGTCTCATTAGACCAGGGCTGCCAATGCACACGGATTTCATATTAAAACAGTAAGAATCTGAGACAGTAGTAAGAGTTATTTTATACAAAGTAGCACTTTCCAGTAAACACACAGCTTATGGGAGAAGAGGAAAGACCTCAGAGAGGGTCAAGTGTTTCACCTCTCAGCTAAGAGCACAAGGAGGAGGAAAGCTCTTTCACAAGACTAAGGCAGATGAACAGTGCTAGATTCACCAGACCAGGTTGCTCCAAGCTCCATCCAACCTGGCCTTGAACACTTCCAGGGATGAGGCAGCCACAGCTCACACCACTTTAATTCAAATTTCTAAGAAAATCTACTCTGACACCTTGTGATTTTTCAGTCCTAAGTATACAGAAGTTTTCAGGATTAAAACCAGAATTTACCTATAAACCAAGTCACCTCAACACATCAGCTCCCTTCTCCTCAGTAAGAGCCAGCAAAGCCCGACATCAGCCTCACTTTCATGACTCATAAGTATGTCCAAGAGAACAAAAAGAACAAGAGGTGATTGGTAGGTTTTGTTCCTAACTTCTAAATATTCCACTTCCAAACCTGCTCCCAAAGGAGCTGCAGTGAAGGTTTTCCTAACACCTGTAGTACAGAGCTGCTGTGCTGTACCACTTAACAAAAAAATCCCCAAGCTGCTTCCAAAGGGATCAGTGAACAATGAGTAAGTGAAATGGGGAGGCACATCTGCTGGACATACATTGAAGCAGGCTAAAAGCATCTAGAATTAAAGGCAGTTTTGTTAAGATCTCATTTCTGTGCTTGAAACAGTAAAGAGCTGTTAACTTCTAGTGTTAAGTGTTACAAACACTTGACTCATTTCTTTGAAGAGAAGCTAACTGAACACACCTCTCAAACAGATCGATCTATTCATTATGTCAGTTCTTCCATGAAAGTAATTTCATTAGCTATTCTCACTGGTTTTGTTTGGGTTTCTGAGTTGACTCCTGATTCACTCTTCACATGCAAAATACAGCATGGATCTCTCTTGCTTCTGTACCACCCAGGAGTATCATCATCTTATGCTATCATACATGCAGAGATGTTAAAAAAAGACTCTTCAGCTGAATAAATGTCAGCTTGAGAGTGACTGGGCCTGGGGGGTGTTTCTTGACACACTTGCAAGACTGCAGGTTTAGTGCATCTAAATGCTTCTGTTTAAACACACTCTTTTATATACACCAACATGAAGTTTAACTCAGTTTCCTTTTTCTACACAAGCCAGAGAAAGGGGCACAGTTTCCTTTTTCTACACAAGCCAGAGAAAGTGTTTTGAACAAACACTTCAAATACAGGAGAGATGAAGTTAAAAAGATAAGCCATTGTTTAAAGAACAGAGCTACCTTCCACAGTAAGAAAACAGCATGATTGTCACAAAGTCAAACTCGTTCCGTGAGATTAGAGATGGAGTTTTCATTGGCAAGGACTGAATGTTGCCTCCCCATCTGTATTATGTCCCTGGCTAACAAGAAAAAAAACTGACAAGGTGTGAAAAAGCAGAAACATGTATTAGAAGACCAAACAGAACAGAATAGTTCATACTATCTAGCTACTTCAAAGGAGTCAGAGGCATCTAGTACACTAAGCTGCAAGGCCACTGATTAGCAGTGGGCCACTTAAGATGCTAGAATATTAAAAACAAAGACTAATGGAGGAAACAGAGCTCTCAGCACGTCCCTCTCTCCTCAAGTGCAAGAGTATGCATCTCTGTGCCACCCTCACTATCTTGGAGTAATTCAAGTTTTGCAATGACTGAAATTAGTATTCTTGAGAAACTGCAATTTTCAATTCTACAGCAACTCTGCTGAACAATGCTGAAGCACACAACTCTCGTTCCCAAAGGCTTCAAGGGCATTTGTCTGTATTTTATTATATAATGAGAGGGCACGTATGCTACAAACTTAAGGCACAGTTTAGGTGTTATGGTGACTGAGGCATGACCAGTGTTCCTTCAACCTTACACAGGTTTAGCAAGCACCATGAATCTGTGTACTGCATAAAACAAATTGATATTGACAGAATTTTCCTAAAATGCTCCCCAAGAGACATTCCTTACAAAGTTACCTGCCCAGGTGCAGCAGTATCCCAAGCTCATCTCTAGATTATACCACAGCAGACACCAAGATAAGGGTACACACCAGCTGCTAAAACCAACCACAGCCAGAATGACTGACCCTACCGTGTCACTTCAGCTTTATCAAGAAAAGTGTTGTTCCCACATTATGGACGTTGAGCTACAGGTCAAGTGTCTCAAAGAATGGAGTTTCCACTCCAAAAGCCTGGACACAATCTGGACATTAGGAAATAGTGAAAACCACTTTACCTCCTCACTCTTTGACTTGTGGAGAACAAATCCTTTTTTCCATTGCCCATCAGCACCCTCGTTTGGTTTGCGGATGTTGAATTCCACTTTTGCACGATCCTTGCTTTGAATAGCTTTCCACTCATCCAGGGTCATCTCCTTAGGGCCTTCTTCCTTAACTTCTTCAACCTCATTCTCTCTGTAGTGAATTCATGGATATTACGATCAGGACTTAAAACTCACATTCTAAATACAACGCATTTGAAATCAGTTAATTATTAAAAGCTTGTCAAGTATTTTAGAGTTGAGATGTACATAAAACCCTCTCACTTCCACCACTCAAAGCACACAAGAAAACTCATCCCCCTTACAGTGCTAAAAACAACCCCACAGCCACCTTTAAGCAACTAACTGGTGAGCAAAACTCAGCAAAATGTTAATTTTAACACTGACCCTTGCATGCTGTTCATTCTCCACATGCATGACAATTTTCCTCACGCATTTGAAAACCTAACTTCTGCACTGGGCTTGTTTGGAGCTTTGCCTCCCCTCTTTTTGGATGCCTCTCCCACCAAGGTTCAAGTTAAGGCAGTGAGAGACAGCTTGACAGTTTTTTTTAATAACAATTTAGTCCTTTTTGGACACTGTTTCCTTTATCGAACCAAAGACTTACTAATTTCCCAGCTAACTGAAACAATCTTTACTTTCAGCTAACTTAAGCAGCATGGAACTTAGTTGCTTGTGCAATCTATCACCTCACTGTAAATCTTTAATGCCCTCACCTGCCCAAGAGTTATTATGAAGTAAAACACACAACCACTCTGCTCAATAACAGATCATGTTCCAGCTACACAGGCTGGGCAGTTTAAATTGTCCATTAATTAAAATCCTTTAATTATTCTTTGGTTTGCTTATGCAACTGAATTTCTGGCTTACAGAAAATTAGTGCTATGTATGTACGTGCAGCTAAAAGAAAAGCCTCAACTAAAGAGAAAAGGTTTTCATTTCGTAGCTACTAACTTTGATGTCATTGACATGGTACATATTCAGAAGCAGGTTTTTTGGTTCAAGGCAAAGATATTTCCCCTTGGCATCCTGCACATTTTACTGCAGCAACACATCCTACACTTCCACTGAAACATTCAGGTTGGAGGTCCACATCAATTTAGGCCACCTGAAAACTAACCCATGTGAAAACTAACCCATGGGTTACAACAGGTGTGTTGTGCTTGAGAGTGAGAAGACATGTTCTGCAGGTAAGAGTAAGAAGAAAACAACCTACAAGTAGTGTGCAGATGATCAATCTGCACACAGGTGGGTCAGGATCTGGTCAAGCATCAGACCACTGATCCAGGAAATCCTGCAGACAAATTTAATATACCCAGATTTCCAATACATTTTTATTATTTTCTTTTTAAGGACTACCTGGCTTGTACTTCCTGGCCAATGCTCAAGCTGTAATTCATTAGAAGTTCTCACACTACTTCTATATACAAGACAACTGTAACCTCAGACCACCACAACTATGGAGAAGTAAAAGCATCTAGTCTTTCTCTTTTTTAGTTCAACAAAATCAATTTCTTGTTCTCTACCCACTTTACCACTGAAGTTATTAATATGGAAATCAAGCTGTAGCAAACTCCACATTAGGAATCTCTTGCAAACAAGTATTTAAAAATTCTACCTTGTTTACCATTTTGTTTTGAATTCACCAAAAAGCACATTCCTCATTAAAAGACAACATTTTATTGTACCACCCTATATAAAAACTTGTATCACTCTTACGTATCCTTACTGCTCCTTCTGCTTCATTCATCTGGTCACTGGTGGCTTCTGTAACAGTGTCCAAGTGGAATGAGAAGCAACCAAGTTAACTTATTTGAAAGCTGCCTGCCTACACAGGGGCTGGAGAATGAGACAGATATGGCCTTTCTTCTAGTCACACAGTCTCACTAGTTGTTTGGAGTAAGTGTAAAAAAGTTGCCTTCCACTGACAGAACAACATTATGTCCCTTTTGCTTGGCTGTTCTACCTAGCCATGAGACAGATGCTCTTGGATTTGGCACTTGGGAGTTGCAATTCTAAGGCCCTAAGCTTATTAGACCTGATTATGAACAGCTAAATCTGAAAGTGACCCAAGAGCTCGCATGGTTATTGAACCAACCATTCCAAGAGATCATGATTTTCAGACATACAGCTGTGAATCATTTCATGTCTACTGAAGAAAACACAACCTGAGTTTGGCAAAACAGAAATAGGAATAAACACGAGGGATTAAAGGCAAAGCAATACTGCCTTTGAAGCAAGCAGAGCCCAGGAGAGGGGTGGTACTCACTTGTTTTCAGAATCAGCAGGCGGATGTTCCTCTCCCTCTGGCGTTTCCTCAGTTACAGCTGACTGATCCAATTCACTGCAAACACACAACGTTTGGAGCTGTGTTTTTAAAAAGTTCATCCCTCTATAAAGCCACCTAAGATTAACCACTAAGTTCTACAGTGTATTTACATGACCCACCCTCATTTTAAAAGAACTACCAAGGATTGGTGCTTTCTGTGCCTTTTCAATTCTGTCCTTTCCACCTTCCTCACAGTCTTCCCTCATACTTGCTAGTACCCATTCCGAAAGCCTCCCGCTGTACACCCAGACACAACATGGCTTTGGGTATTAAAATGACTGCTTTCAATGTCATACTTGTAAAAAAGAATGCTCAACCTGATCAAAATGGCTAAACTGTTCTATTTTCAGTAAAATAATTGTTCAAAAAATCACCAGAAGACCCCCACTTTAAACTTCCCCAAACTTCTGAAGCTGTCTTTCATGTTGGAAGAAATCGCCAACTTTCTAAAGTCTGCAAAGGCTGATGAACAGCGCAGCAAAAACTATCAAAGGCACAAAAAGGCAGATGAACCTTTACAGTCTGCAAGTGGTAAAGATTAGGACTGATTAAGAGTCTGCTGAGAGAGCAACGACAGGTTACTCACGTGAGCTCGTCTTTGACAGTTCCCCAGTTGTGTGACCCGCTGCCACCGCGCTTGTCCTCGTGCTTCAGGCCGCTGAAATGTGAATGTGAAACAGAACTAACAAAACTGAGTTAACATCATAGTGTCCAGGCACAGAAGTTCAAAAGCCAATTTTATTTTATTTTTTCCACAGGCGGAAAGAGTCACAGAAAGCAGGGGAGGGCAGAAGAGGTTAAAGACTTACGATCGATCGCTGCCGCTGTGTCTGTCGAATTCGCGCTTGCCGCGAGAGTCGAACCCGTCTCCCCGGCCCATCCCGCGCCCGCGGCCACGGCCTCTGCCCAGCCCGCCACGGCCACGCATCGGTCGGTCGATGATGGGCCTGGCAGGGAACAACCCAACGGGAAGGTTTCACCCCCGAAAAACTTACTGCATGGGTTTTGAGGTTTTTCTTTTCCTGGGGGTTTAACCGACTCATTCTTAGAGAATTTTGTAACCGCGCCGAGGCTCTAATGTCAATGCTGAATGCAGTGAAAATACCCAAAAACACAAGGTGTGCATGTTGGAATCTAGGAACAAATGCTCAGGTGGTTTACTGTTCACATGCATCTTCTGGCACCAAACCCAAAATGTCATCTTTGTAATGTGTTACATCACCAGCTGATACTGAAATTTCAATAGAACTGATGTTCATCCAACTGACTTTCAAAAGGGCTTTAACTTTGGCAACTAAAACTTTAATATTTGAACGCTCAGAACACTTGGGATTCTGGATTCCTCATGATACTTCAGACACATGAAAACTGGCCTAGACATCAAATGGCTTCACCAGTTCCAGACCTGAAGTCACTGCAGCCAAGGTGTGAACACCTACATGGACTTTTACTCCCCAGCAGCCAAGGGCACAGATGTAAGGAACAGCTGCAGCAGCCAGCAAATCCACCCTGCAGGCAACAGGTATACTCAAGCTCCTTTCCTAACCCGTCTGCTATAGATGGAGAGATGTGGTGGATACCTTACTGATTTAAATCACATTCCCAGTTCAACCAAGGGGACTGCTCACGTCAGACCACTGCCAGTCTTTACCTTGAGCCAAGTTCATAAACAACATCACAGGAAAAGCGTCACAGCCTGCATGACACGCGCTCTTCTTGCGACCGACACCAATTTAACTCTATTTAATTCTGATCCACATTTTCTTGTTTCTTTTTTTTTTAGCCTGGCAGCAGAAGGCAGAGCAGCCCCTTCCTATGGAGGCTAGGAAAGCTGTTGGCAAGAGAGAATTCTTACTTGTCCACAGAGAACTCTCCTGCTTCTCCCTTCTCGTCGGCGGGCTTGTCGAAGCGGCGCTCCCGCGGGGGCCGTCTCTCTGGCCTCCTGTCGATGGGTTTGCCATCCCCCTGCTGCTGCTGCTGCTGCTGCTGCTGCCCAGGCCTCCTGCCAATGCGCCTTATCCCTGAAACACCACAGACACACATCAACGGGACGCGGAGCTGCTCCGGGAGAGATACTGGCTCAGTCATACAGCACTGGAGGTAAGCTGGTGTTGCAGTTTTTCTTCTAGCCTTGGGACTAGGTGATCTGAGAAACTGTACCTTTAGAGAAGTCTCTGCAGATCATTTGACTCTTCTTAGTCACATTTTAACGCAGCTTTTCAACCAAACTGTGTTTTGTACAAGTGTGTACACCTGACAATATTGTAGGGAACAAAACCTGTCAGAGCACACAATACATTAGTATTCCGTGTTAAAATGACAGGGTCAACTTTCAAAGCAGGATCAAGCTAAGCAAGATTTGTAATTGTTGTTTTTTTGTGTTGTTTTTTTTTTTCCCCTCTAAAAGGTGCTTTTCAGGTAAAACAAGTGGGTTTTATTTCAATGCACACCAAAATGAAGCCAGCGTCCCCACGCTGGACCCAAGTCCCTCTGCTGCCACCCTGCTTCATCCCACTGTGCTGTTCCTGGGACTCTGGCCAGCAGTGCTCCCCGAGGGCCACCCTCAGCCCCAAGGGGTGTCACCCAGCCCACTGCAGGAGGTCCTGGTCAGTGACTACACGGTGTGCTCACCCACAGCAGTCCTCAGTCCAGCACACAAAGGCTCAGCTTGCTGCCCACATGCTTCACATAGCTCGGGAAGAGCCGGTGCCTGGGAGCTGGGCAGCCTCCTCCTCCCCTCCCTCTCTGTCTTCAGAACGGGTTTTAAAAATAATAACTCCCCATGGGCATTATTTTCTTCACTAAGACATCTGAAGGACCTTAAACACAGTTTTCCACCCATCTGAAAAGCCTGTTTACTCACCTTTAGAAAAATCTGGACAAACACATTACACTCCTTTGTCACACTATTTTTCTGGCCAAAATATTTGGGGGAAAAACACCAAGCAAAAACCACCCAGGCTGACTTAAATAGTTATGAACTATCCTTTACATTAAAAGGTGCCCAATTTACATTTTTTGTAAAGAAATAAGTTCCTGCCTAACAAGCACCACCATATTTGGGTGGGGCCAAAGAAGTTACAGTTGTAATGATATCCAAGCCAACACACCCAAAGGAACAATGTCTTCCCTACCTTACAACACGAGGTTTGCATGACATGCACTGCTTGCTCAGCCACCCTCACCCCCCGAGGAAACACAGGGGTTAAACTCACTAACATTTACTGTGAGAAGGGCTCCCAAACCGAGGACCACCATTTCATTTTAAGAGGTGAAGCTCGGCAAGGAAAGCCAGCAGGCCAGTGTCACACAGGAGCTATGCTGCAGAACTGGAAGGAATCATCCACAGCTTTTGAATTTCGGGTTCAACACTCAGAAAAACCTGGTTCCCCGTGAAGCCCAACCAAAAATACTAGTTATTTCTTTTTCTTTGTAGCACAACGCTTTGAACTGGTAATTCACCAGTCAAACAACCTGCACCTCTACCGAGTGGTGGAACAGTTTGAACCTGCACTATGGCATCCACCACCACCTTCATAATGTTACAACTACTGTCCCACACAACAAACCAGCAATCTTCAAGCTGCAAAGTGACTTTGTTTACTACAGTGCTCCAGGCACACGGCTGCAGCAGCAGGCCTGACTTTCTCTGTTTCACTACCATTATAGGCCACAAAAATACTCTTTTTCATAGCGGGGCAGTGCTCGTTCTTGAAAAAGGATGTGAAAAGTGGGAGGTAAACAGGGCCTGCTAGCCCTTCAGAACCTTCCTCGTTCTCCTGGGGTGGCCAAAGACGCTGCCCACGTCTCACGTTGACCTCATATGCAGGACAACACCATAATTCTGCAACTGACTAATATTTCCAGAGGACACTGGCTCAGTAAATTGCCACTCGGGGACAAACGAGCACATTCCTCACAGGGAAAAACAACTCTTAAGCTTTCAAGCACAAAAGATGCTCCAGCAAAGCTTGACACGACACGTTTTCAAACACCACTTGGGACACGAC